TGGGTGTGTGAGCGTGTATGTGATTGTGCCCTGAAATGGACTGGCACCCTGTCCAGGGTGTACCCTGTACTCCTTGTGCCCGATGCTCCCTGGGATAGACTCCAGGTTTCCCGTGACTCTGTAAAGGATAAGCGGTATAGAAGATGGGCGGATGGATGGACCTTCTGACCAGTTAGAATATGAAATCGACAGTTGATCATCTCCATTTGTTGATTTTGTTTGCTATTGGTTGAGGCAGTCACTGGTCCTGTGAACACAGTTGCAGTTAGAAATAGCGAAGCCGGAACAAAAGGAATGACTCAGTGAACGCTACTGATTCATTCACCTTGATGAGTCACAGCTAAATTCATAACTGTCAGGTCATCCGGCTTCTTTTATACTTCCGGCTGTAACGAATTCCAGATTTCTTGGCGATAATCCTGCGGGTCAAACGCTGACATGATGTTAGGACAAACTTCATATCATTACCCTGACAGTGTAATCTGTAATCAGCCTGAATTATGACACTGAATGGTTGGACTTCTACAGTGTTCATATCAGCGTCAGCTAAATGGACAGGAGAGGATTGTATTCTGTTTCTCAGCAGTGTGCGAGTAAAGAGCGATGGCCTGATTGAGAAGGAAGATGGGTTTAGACCCAAGTTCTGAAAAGCTATGCATTAATAACTGACAGAGAAGCCTCGTGCGACATAAATGATCTGCGTTCTGACTGCCACTGTGCTTCATACGCAGTGTTTCTTCAGCATTCGTCAGATCCTACTCTTCACCCCCTAGCGTGTTCCTCGTGTGCTCCTCCTATTTGCATCTAAACTTTTTTTTTTTTTTTATATCTGGGAAAACTCCAAATCCCTGTACATCTGATTTGTATGCGCTGATGATCAGAGGCATTTAAAAATGATTTGATTCACTTGCATGACTTATAATAGCCAGAGGAAACAAAAGCAATTTTTTCAGAGTTAATTTACTTGTTTAAACGTTTTCGGAAAGCAGCATCAGTGTATTGAAATAAATACGAAATTATTACTACTCAATCTAACAAGTAGTGTATCCGAAATCTTTCATGCCAAAAAAAAAAACTAGAGCAGGGGTGTCCAGTCTTATCCGGAAAGGGCCGGTGTTGGGTGCAGGTTTTCATTCTAACCAAGCAGGAGGCACACCTGATTCCACCTGATTAATCAGTTCATCTTGGCTTTCAATAGATTCAGGAGAGGCTTCTGCTTGGTTGGAATGAAAACCTGCACCCACACTGGCCCTTCCCGGATAAGACTGGACACCCCTGTTCTAGAGCTTCAATTCAACAGAATTATACTATGTTAGACTACAATATGTTTTAGCATACTGTACATTTGGGATATAATGTAGCAGGTAAATTTATATACTTCCAATTGTTTTTGCATGAATATATATATATATATATATATATATATATATATATATATATATATATATATATATATATATATATATATATACTTTATCTACTAACTTAAAACTTTTTTTTTTTTTTTTTTTTTAAAAAACAAACAAACAAACACCTGGAACATTTTCCAACTGATTAGCTTCATTGGGAACAGGTCATTGAGGTTATTGGGGATAAAAAAGAATCTCTTAGAGAGGCAGAGTCTCTCAGAAGTAAAGACGGGCAGAAGTTCACCAATCTGCGAAAAACAGCGTCTACAATTTGTCGGACAATTTCAGAATAATGATCCTCAACGTAGAATTGTGAACACCGTGAACATCTCATTTGCAAATCATCGCATTGTGTTTTTATTGACATTCATTTACGTTTGACACAGCGTCCCAGCTTTTTTGGAATCGGGGTTTGCTTAGTCTTGTTGTAAAGGGTTACCATTTAAATGACATGCTTTATATTTCCCAAATAACATCCTAGCACTCTTTGCACACGTGTTCTTCTTTTATCGAGTGAATTTTATTAATATTATCAGCGAGTACTGCAAACTGTAAAATACTGTCAAAGGAGCAAAGTGGCATGGTCGCGTACATGAACTGTGACCTCACTCAAATATGGCTGCAAATATCTACATCAAAATCTAACTAAACCATCATACATTCATATGTGTGATATATCTTTGAGGGTAGCTCTGAAAATTTTAATTAATGACAAAAGACCATTGGATGTCCTTTACGCGCAAAACAGTCACCCATTTGAAGATGTATTGTAATTGACTGATGATGCAGAACTCATACGTACAGATTTGAACTTTATTTATTGTCGTTTTGTTTTCATTCTTTTCCCGCTCCATTATTCGTTATCTTAGTAACTATAATTATTATGTCATGGTGTATGTTTACTATGGTTTAACCCTGATTCTTGAAGAAAATCGAGTAATTTCTTTATTAGATCCACCAATTAATTAGACCGATATCAAGCATTTTAAAGTAATCCGTGTTGGCCAATCAGCCTGCAAGCATTATGAAAGTGCTCAAGCATTCCCATTTTTTTCTGCTCTGGCAATCACATACGTCCTTCAAACAGAATAAAAAGCACCATCATTGCTTAGGCAAAATCCCTAGCTCTCAAAGAGTTCATCCAATAAAGTTAATCTAATTAAGTTCTTTGTATTAACATTTCATTATTAGCATAAGATAAGCAGTGTTTACTCTAGCCTTTTGTTTATTATTATTTTGGTTATCTTATTATCTCCTGCTTTGTGAGAAAACCTGATTCTAAGCTAAGATGGCTAACTACATAAATGTGACAACACTATAATGCTGGTTCTAGCCACCGGGCGGCTGTGACTCAGGTGGTAGAGCGGGTTTTCCACTAATCGTAGGATTGGCGGTTCGATTCCCGGCCCACGTGACTTCACATGTTGAAGTGTCCTTACGCAAGACACCGAACAACCCACGTTGCTCCCGATGGGAAGTGAACGCCTTGCATGGCAGCTCTGCTAGCATTGGTGTGTGAGTGTGTGTGTAGGTGAATGAGAACCAGTGTAAAGTGCTTCGTAGAACCACGAAGGTTAAAAAAATTCGCCGTAGAAGTGCCGGACCATGTTTTTCAACGTCAGACCTGGTTAAGCATGCGACGAACATTCATTTCTAATTTGAGCGACGTGTCATTATTTTCCCTTATCGCAGCTTGTCGGATGTTTATTTCAGAAGCATTCATTGCTGGTTAAATCACCTGATGATTAGCCAGCGCTCAGCCCAGCATGGGCTTATTACTAAATGTGGAGGCTTTCTCTTCATTCCTGCACACGCCGACGAATGCTTAGAAACCAATTAAATCTCATTAAGCAGCGTTCATTGTGTGGCGAGGTGTCTTTCAGAGAGCAAGCTGATATTTCTGTCTTTCTTTTGTAGCTTGGCTTGCATTAATACACATCATATCATGGTGCTATGAAATTCTCGAATCTGATTGGTCAGGAGGTGTTCGTTCATTTTCTCGGACAGTCGTGCTGGCTGCTAGAGGTTTAGATGAATTGTCTGGATATGTTATCGTTTCTATAGTGACCGCTCCATCACAGGGAATTTGTATGGTGAGCGCTCTACATAATATGAATAAGAGACGGGTTAAAAATGTGCTGTTATTGAACAACAAAAAGATGTAGAATTGTTGATATGGTGACTTGTTTTGTAAAAACACGTTTATTTAACGTTTATGGAAGGAGTCTCCGGTGTTAGTGCTTTGCAGCAGTGAAAGTGAAAGCTGTTCCTCTCGGTAAAACACTGGAAATAGAAAGTAAAGGAACATAAACTGTTTACAGCTGCTATAATGTAAGTCATTATTTGTCTTTCTGTCTTTCTTTATGTTTTTTACAACTATTACTCCAGACGCTAGATGAGTAATGGTTTGAATAACTATAGACACAATATCCAGATATATACAATGCATTAGAGTTATTTATTTATTTTTGTTGCGTAAGATTGAGTCAATGATACAATCTTCCACTTGCCAGTGCATCTTCAGGACATAATCTCTGATCAGTTTTATTGCTAAGTGCTGACATAGAACGCAAATAAAACAGGAAGAAAAGTATAACAAGACCAAGCTGCGCTAATGTTATGCCAAAGCATGCTGGGACTTTATAGTCAGAGCCGCGGGCTAAATGAATTCCCCCCGATGCCACGGTATGGGTATTGAAATATTTGAATAAAAATGTTGATAAGATGTTTGCTGATGTTTCTATTTCTGTTTTGGGTGAAATGTATGAAATGAGAAAACTAACACACGGGCTGTATCTTTTTTTGCATGTGGTTCGGTGTAGGCTGTGTGCAAATGGAAGACTTTGAAACCTGCGCTCAGCTTGACCCTTATACGTGCACGCCTACACACGTGCACAGGTTGGTTTCTTTTCTTTTTCTTTTTTTTTCTGGCAATGAGAGGAACTGAAAAAGGATGTCGAAGGAATTGAAAAGTTTACATTTATATTTAAACTACCATTTACAGCGTTTAGTGATAGGACAAGAGGATAGCACTTACACCTGTGCATGGTTCGTGTGTGTGGTGTGTGCGAATGTAATTTGCGATTTAACCATCTACCTATATTCATTCTCCGAGACAAAAAAAATAATAAAAAATTGTCACTGACCTATCAGATTAATCAAATATCTTTTGCCCTACATGGAAGAAATGAGAAATCTGACATTTAAATGAAAGCACTGAACTTTTCGACGTCTCTCTGTAGATGAGAGGTGACTTTTCGGCGTAAGTCTTGAAAAAAATGTTGTTATTGGGTCCTTCCACATATGCCATTTAGCTGTTGTTGGGTTCAAACATGTAGGTACATGTAATATATTAAAGGCACCGTTTGTATTTTCAGAGCCCTCTACTGCCTGAGAGGAGAACTACAATTTCAATAAAACCACAGCCTTTCAACAGAGCACTGCTTGCTTTTTAACTCACTCCATGTGCTTTTGTGTACATTTCCATGCGCCGTTCTTTCTGTTCCTAGTCCTGTCTCCTGTCATTGGTGAATTTTCTGATTGTGTTCACCGGCTCTGTGTTAGCTCATTCATTAGATGAGCTGTAGGACCGCCACGGTGGCTTAGTGGTTAGCATGTTCACCTCACACCTCCAGGGTCCGTGGTTCGATTCCCGCTGGGGAGTTTGCATGTTCTCCCCGTCCTCCATTTGCCACGCTATCGCTATGCTTCACATTCTCATAAAGACTATAAATTCAAAACCTGAGAAAAAGGGAGAGAGAGTAAGTACACTTAAGATAAAAGATTCATAAAAGCTTTCACTGATCATTAAGAGTTCTTGGGTATTATCTGGAACCATCACTGTTGTTTAACGGTTCCTCCAGAGGGACAAGCTGAAGAACTGTTAAGGGTTCTAGATTTCAAGAGTGTATATGATGATGTGTTTAAGGTATACAGTGGATGGAACAGCATTTTGTATGACACAAATATATCCACAATCTCTGTTACTTAACCTACGGGAGTGTTTCGGGGAGGTGGGAAGAAACCAGAGAACTCTGAGGAAACCCTGAAAGACACAGGGACAATGTGTGAAACTCCACACATACAGTAACACGAGATCAGGAGGGAACTGTGAGGCGGCAAGAATGATTTTCTTGAGCATCTGCTGTGTGAGGCACGTTCACTACAGAACCGCATGAGTGAGATTAGCGGATAGTAGGCGTAGCAGGGTCAAGCATGGCTCATTCACAGCATACGCTTTAACAAAACAGGCACAACAAACATCTCACCGGATCAGGTTATTCAGAAAAAAACCAAAACAACCCAGAACAATAGAAGCAATAAGCTACATTTACATTTAAAGTGGCTATATCGTGATCAATTCCTGTATGCTAGTTGCTTTCGCTTCAGTTTCTTTCAGTTAATAAGTGAAACAAATCTTTCTCAATTTAATAAGCTGTCCAAAAATCCCAGACATTATCTCAGTCATGTGAGAGACGCACATTATTTGCATAATCCAATGTGATTTGGTTGCAAATCAACAAAAAAAAGTACAAACAAGTACAACTCAATTGAAGCTTTGTCACAGCTTTGTGGAGAGTTAGCGACCGCTAACAAACAACACACAGAAAAATCAAATGGAAAAGTACCATCCCTGTCAAAAAGAGGGCAAATTAATTCCTTCCCTCAGAGTAAATATTCAACTCAATTCAATTTGACTTGGATAGCGCTTTTAACAATCTTAAAGAAGCTTTACAGAAACATATAAACACAGGATAGAGATTTTAAGCGTGTGAATTTACAGTGGTGTGAAAAAGTGTTTGCCCCCTTCCTCATTTCCTGTTCCTTTGCATGTTTGTCACACTTAAGTGTTTTGGAACATCAAACCAATTTAAACAATAGTCAAGGACAACACAAGTAAACACAAAATACAATTTGTAAATGAAGGTGTTTATTATTAAAGGTGAAAAAAAAATCCAAACCATCATGGCCCTGTGTGAAAAAGTGATTGCCCCCCTTGTTAAAACATACTACAACTGTGGTTGTCCACACCTGAGTTCAATTTCTCTAGCCACACCCAGGCCTGATTATTGCCACACCAGTTCACAATCAAGGCATCACTTAAATAGGAGCTGCTTGACACAGTAAGGTCCACCAGAAGATCCTTAAAAGCTACACATCATGCCGAGACCCAAAGAAATTCAGGAACAATTGAGAAAGAAAGTAATTGAGATCTATCAGTCTGGAAAGGGTTATAAAGCCATTTCAAAAGCTTTGGGAATCCAGCGAACCACAGTGAGAGCCATTATCCACAAATGACGAAGACATGGAACAGTGGTGAACCTTCCCAGGAGTGGCCGGCCGCCCAAAATTACCCCAAGAGCGCAGCAACGACTCATCCAAGAGGTCACAAAAGACCCCACAACAACGTCCAAAGAACTGCGCACGCTCACTGCCTGCCCCAGTTAAGGTCAGCGTTCATGCCTCCACCATCAGGAAAAAGACTGGGCAAAAATGGCCTGCATGGCAGAGTTCCAAGGAGAAAACCACTGCTGAGCAAAAAGAACATCAAAGCTCGTCTCAATTTCTCCACAACACATCTTGATGATCCCCAAGACTTTTGGGACAACATTCTATGGACCGATGAGACAAAAGTGGAACTCTTTGGAAGGTGTGTGTCCAAGTATATCTGGCGTAGAAGGAACACTGCATTTCATAAAAAGAACATTATACCAACAGTAAAATATGGTGGTGGTAGTGTGATGGTCTGGGGCTGTTTTGCTGCTTCAGGACCTGGAAGACTTGCCGTGATAAAAGGAACTATGAATTCTGCTGTCTACCAAGAGATCCTGAAGGAGAATGTGCGACCATCTGTTCATGTACTCAAGCTGAAACGAACTTGGGTTCTGCAGCAGGACAAGGATCCTAAACACACCAGCAAGGCCACCACCGAATGGCTGAAGAAAAACAAAATGAAGACTTTGGGTGGCCTAGCCAAAGTCCTGAACTGAATCCTATTGAGATGTTGTGGTATGACCTTAAAAAGGCCGTTCATGCTCGAAAACCCTCTAATGTAACTGAATTAGGACAATTAGACACTGCAAAGATGAGTGGCCCACCAAAATTCCTCCAGGCGCTGTAAAAGCCTCATTGCACGTTATCGCAAACGTTTGGTTGCAGTTGTTGCTGCTAAGGGTGGCCCAACCAGTTATTAGGTTTAGGGGGCAATCACTTTTTCACACAGGGCCATGATGGTTTGGATTTTTTTTCACCTTTAATAATAAACACCTTCATTTATAAATTGCATTTTGTGTTTACTTGTGTTGTCCTTGACTATTGTTTAAATTGGTTTGATGTTCCGAAACACTTAAGTGTGACAAACATGCAAAGGAACAGGAAATGAGGAAGGGGGCAAACACTTTTTCACACCACTGTATCTCTATTGAGCGAGCCGGTCGAGACGGTGGTGAGGAAAAACTCCCTAAGATGATATAAGGAAGAAACCTTGAGAAGAACCAGACTCAGAAGGGAAGTCTAAATGTCCTCCATAAGCTCAGGTTAGTGTTTGTTCACGTCACGTTGTTATACTCAGGTGTGAGTTCATTCGTGAGTCAGCTAATGAACATTGTACCACTGTGTTGTCGAATTCTGTATTGTCAGAATTATATAGAAACGCATGACTCGGACAGTAGTCACACACACACACACACACACACACACACACACACAAATTATCAAGTGGAAAAGTAGACATATAATTTTTGCTACGTCATTCCTATCTCTGTTTAGTCACAATGGTGTCACACCCTACATGACTCTCCAGTTTCAGTAATCAAACATTGTCAATCACATTAAGGTCAACAGCCGGATGCTTTCATGGCGTGACTCAGAGGACGAACAGCATCACTGTGCGCATGTTAAAAAAAGATCTTTCTCCTGAATAAAAAAAAACCAAAAAAAAAAAAAACTACAACTATGCATAACAAATATGAAGTCTAGTTTGTAGCCAGCTTTTAAAAATGTATCAAATTCGCTAGTAATTGGATTAGTCATAAGAATGATCCGTCTTCAGAGTCAAAATAATAAAGATGGCAGATGGCAGTTTCGACTCCTGACATCCTCTCGTTCTCTCTCTCTCTCCATCTCCTCTCGCTGTCTGTCAGCCCCAACGAGATGTTCAGAGAAGTTTTTCATCCTTCTTTCGAGTCTTTTTTTTTTGACAGACGACAGCTTTCCACTCGAAGTCAGGCTTCTGTCATCATGTAATTATGAGGACGTGTGCTAACAAAGGAGGTCTCGCTTTATTCACCGCTCCCAAACCACAGATCTCAGCCGTGCTCGCTAAGTCACACAATAGTGCGACGACAAGGTCTTGCTGTAATAATATATACTACAAATTATCCAACAGTTACAGCTAAGAAAGATTCATGTTAAGAAGATTATAGCCAGGTTTTTTTTTTTATACCAAGATTCCAAGATCATCAAGGAGCGACTTGTTGGTTCTCCCCAGCTCTCGTGTAAAACAAAGATAGAACCTGCATGTTGCATGTTCAGGACGCTTATTATCCGATTTTACCTTGTCTATAGTTTTCAGCAGTCAGCTTTGCCGTTTCCAGGAGTGTGGTCATGTCAGATCTGATTTTCGGTTAGCAGTGGAGACGGCATCATATTGATGACTCGGTACTGTCAATTGTGTGTTCTGCAATAGATACAAATGTAGACGAGACTGAAAATCCATTTCTGTGCGTTACGCCCTATTACTTACAACTAAATTGACCTATCCGAACTCTGAAAACAAACAAAAACACCCCTCTGATTGTCTTTTCTTCCCTTCTCTCAATCATTCTTACTGTCAATTCAATTCAATTCAGTTTTATTTGATTTATATGGCACTTTTAACAACGGACGTCATCTCAAAACAGCTTTACAGACACATATACACACAGGATATGGATTTTAAGTGTGTGAATTTATCCCTATTGGGCGACGGTGGCGAGGAAAAACTCGAGAAACCTTGAGAGGAACCAGACTCAGAAGGGAACCCGTTCTCATCTGGGTCACAACGGATAGTGTGAAAGTAAAAGAAATTTCATTATGGTTTTACATGAATCTTTGTTGAACTAGTCCACTGTTCACTAAAGGAGACCTGAGAGCAAGACTGTATGTTGTAATTGCAGTCCCAAGGACATCGCAGCAACCGTAGTCCCAACAACCACAGCGACAATGTCCATGTGAGAATTCATCCAATCAATCATCATTAGTTAACGTGACGACGCCCCATTAAGGAACCAATCAGGACTCAACTAGTCTGTATAAAGACCCAGAAGTGACGAGAGAAAGGAGGCTCTTGGTTCTCTTGTCTGTCTTTTGACTTGTTACGCTGTTTTTGTACTAGCCTCGCAGATGAACTCATTAGTGAAACAACTATCTTGTTGTTAAACTGTTATTTTCTTTCTTTCATATACTTGTTTGTTCATTCGAACTATCTTCCCGAACTCAGTGGAGAGGGGTGGGTTGGTATTGTTGCCCTGTAGTTAGTAGCGTACTTCCAATAAATAAAGAAATAAAGTAGCTGGCACAAAATTGGTCTGTTGTATAGGGATACAACTTTACAAAGTGAACTTCAGTGCCATCTACCATGGACAATGTCACAAAGAAGCTTTGTTGATCTATATAAATTCTGG